AGCTGACTTTTTTCACACCTGGATACCCGAGGCCGATCGAACCCGTGGATACGACTGAATTCGAAAACTTCTCTTCATCGTATTTGCATCAAACTTTGCAAGACCTGTCGGCAGCGAGGCGTGAATGATCGATATATCCCCATTTAAAGCTGGGGTAAATAATCGATTGTTCAGGTGTTCGTTGCGAACACCCCGTTTATCGATACTTTTCCATAGGTTTAAATGGCAGATCAATCGATATATCCTGAAGTGCGCCAAGCCGCTGAGATCTATTCATACTGCGATGAAATTCAGACATACATGCTGTCTTCATTCATAGAATCCCTTGAGTCCTTAAGAATTCCCTAATTTTTCCAGATTCTTAAAAATAAATTCTCTGCTTTCTTGTCGTAAATTTTCAGACTTGCAGTGAAAGCAAAATAGGCAGATATAGAAGGGCGTAGGGGGCGTAACCCCTCCCCCCTCCCCACGCGTTTGCCCAAAAAAGGATGAAAGAAGGGAAGGGACTGGTGAAAAAAGAATAAAGGATACTTGTAGTTGGTAATTATTCACGACGAAACTGACTCAAACTGCATGTTAGATGCTTTAAAATTTCGAAAATTTTAGTTGGGACCGCCTCGGACATGCACTGGATAAAAAAAGCACATTGGATCTAGAGTCCACAATCTTGAGAACATTGACAAGAAAAAGGACTCTTGATTCAATCAGATTTAAGCTTGAATCAAAAGGAAATCCGCTCAAATTAAGAGGCTTGGTTCTTGATTTAAGCTTAAATCTGATTGAATCAAGAGTATTTTTTCTTGTCGATGTTTTTAAGAGTCTGGACTCTAGATCCAATGTGTTTTTTCCAGTGTGTATAATAGCAGATTAGGTTAATTTCTCATATTTCCTCCGATACTTGCTCAATTTAGAAACCAAGAACACCCTCGTGCTCAGTTTTCTTAACAGCTTCATTTTAAACACGAAATTTACAAAATTTCAGAAACCTGCAAATTCTCCATCCCGTTGTTTTCCATGTCCTGGACAACATGTTTTCAGTCGACGCAAGCTATGACGTTCTCATCATCCGATCCCGATTTCTCGACGCGAAAACTCGCAAAAAAACTTGTTGACAGAGTCTGTAATACTCGCAGAAGGATGCGCGGAGCGAACCCACGATCGCGATTGTNGTGGGGGGGGGGGGGGGGGGGCACGCAATCGAGAGCGATGGAGGAGGAGGAACGCGGCATGAATAACGCATAGCGTTATTAGTGCTTAGCGTCGGATAAGGAGCCAGTGCTTTGAGAGATCGATGCTCCGAGTTTGGCCCCCTCGGCGCGGCGTGCCCGGATTCATAAAGGCTAATTTAGTTGTTCGCCACTCGAGAGCGCCCGCTAAGTAGGCAGCCTGCTCATCACGGATTCCCTTTTCGGAACCCCCCCGCCCGAAAATCATTGCCCCAGCGCGGCGGCGAAACGGCATGAGTGCGTTTCGAGGAGAAACCCGATGGGTATACCAGTGGCGTGGCGTGCTTTGCGATGTATCGATAGATCTGTCTTTCAAACCTATGGAAAAGGATCGATAGACAGGGTGTTCGCAGCGAACACCTTAAGAATCGATTCTTTACCATGGCTTCAAATGGAGAAATATCGATAATCGATCATTCACGCCACGCCACTGGGGTATATAATCATGCGAGAGTTTCGGTCAGTTGCGTCCTTCTATAGGCTAGAAGACGAATTGACGAGGCGATGGGATGGAGAACAAACGGCACTAGTAACTGCTTTACTGACGAAAAGGCGTAACTGATTTTTAAGATGACCCCTGACGTCCGTATGACTCTATGTTTTCCAGAAATCATACTGGGATTGAGATACGCGCTTGTGTCAGAGGAACGATGGCTATTGGTCGCTAGGCTTACAAAAGGGCGTAACTACGCTTGGAGTTGAGCCGGAGAAAGGATTGGATTTTATGGAGGCCAGGGTTCATCGCAAAGTGTAGTTACGTCCCTGTCAGGAGGGTTGTTTAGGGGTTAGGGCAAAAGGCTGAGTGGGTGCCTTTGCCCTTGACTTTCGGGGATTCAAACGGAATCGGTGAGAAAAGCATGGATAGTGCTTTTGACCCAAGGTAGATTTACACAGGTATGGACAGAACTTAACAACTGGCCTCTGATTGGCTCTCCAGCGGCCCCTTAACGTCAGCCATTTTGAATGTTTTGATTATTTTGATTTATTATGTTCGGTTTATCGTTAGTCAAAATTTTGTGGGATTTTTTGCACAATTTTGATAATGCGATATTAATTTTAACGTTTAAACGCACAAACGTTTGAATGTTAATTTGATTGTAATTCAATTAAAAAACGGGCCCCTTAACCTACGTCACGTAGTCATGTGACACGTACTGAGGCTCATGGGAAATTTTCAACTTTTCCATACCTGTGTAAATCTACCTTGCTTTTGACCGAAAGTGGAGGATCCGGACGCGATAGTCGATAAAAGACAAAGCAGACTCACGTCGAAATCTCGGAGCGAGAGGAGAAATATCCTGTCAAAATTTCCTCGTCGGATGTCTATTTGGGACAACCAGAATTCCCGTTTTCGGATGGAATTCTCGTTGTGGCACTTACAATCCCACCAGGATACCAGGAATTTCGATTGTTTCGAGTAGGAATCCGAATAGGAATTTATTAACAGGAATTTTGGCGGTTGGAGAAATTTTTCTTCGTATGAAATCTGAAAAGCGTTTAGTCCGGAGCTTGATTTGACTCAGAGAAATCTGATTCTGAGTGATAGGAATGGGAGCTGAGTTAACTCTGCAAATGGAGTTGATTCCCCGAAAGAGTTAATTCTACTCTGTAAGAGCGGTGATCACTCCGCAAAAAGAGTGGATTCCGCTACACACAAGTGTTACTTCGGTTTTTTGAGAGTAATAAACATTCGAGTAAAATGCACTCTGAAAATCATATCGAAACTTTTATAACCGTATGAAATGGGTAAAAAAATGTAGGTATTATTCTCGGTATACGATTCCTAAAAATTTTCCCGTTTGCGGCGTTGTTTCTACTTCAGCCCTAAGCAAAAACCTAAAAATATAAATACGAGTGCCAACGATAATTATATATTGTGCTTGAACTTGACCGTTTGACTATAAAAATATAATTTCAGTCCTTCCATCTATGTTGCAGCAAATGAAAGTAAATTTTGCGAGAAAAAAGTTAAAGAGTCCCACTTACAAGCGATAAAAATGAAACAAAAAACTTACAGGCAAAAACGAAATGGTAATGTACCGTCTGCACATCATTACGAGTCAAGTTTTTTTTTTATTTGTTTTTTTTTTATAAATCCAGGTGGCTTTGTTGATGAGGTTAATTTCTGAACAAGGGTAGGCCCAATTATTTTCTTTATATAAACGTCGAGCACAAAAGGTCCAGGATAAATACACCGGTGATGTTTTATTAGAGCTGCTGATTTATTTCCGACCCCGAAAAATGTGATGGTGACACAGTTTGATTTCGTGACAGGGTGGCGCCGCGCCTGGAGGGTTGTAATTGAATGAGCGTTTAGACAGCTGCGCGGACGACCCGGCCCACTTCGGCAAGGAAATCGGAGGCAACAATCGTGATGGCCTAATTGATTTTTACCATTTTGCCTCTCAAGGCTCATTTTGTTTCAGCTGCTCTAGTGAAAGAATTTATGTTTTAACAATAAGAGGACACGAAGAAGGTGCTAATCAAAAGTTAGCCGACATTCATTGGGGGCTGATTTTTTGCAATTAGGAACTACAATATCTGGCTCAGTTTAGAAACAACGTATATGTGTATATTAGTTTTCCTCACCACATGAGAGTTTTTGCAGTTGAGCCGGAAATTGCTGATCCTGATTGCTAAATGAAGCCCATTTATTTCAGATTGTCTTGCCACAAAAAAGATGAAGCTGTTTTTCAATGAAAAAAAAGTCTCAATAACCTAGGGTCCAGACCCTCAACAAATTTGACAAGAAAAGTTACATTTGATTCAAAATCGAGAGCCAAGCATCTTAATTTGATAGGATTTACTTTAAATGCAAGCAAAAATTCGATTGAATCAAAAGTAATTATTCTTGTCGAATTTTTAAGAGTCTGAACTGGATCTAAATCTTTTTTTTCCAGTGTGGCAAATAAATGTTTTTGTGATGGAATCAATCTAAAAGTGCATTTAGAAGGAAATTCAAATGGTTCAGTACCTACAGCGAAAAAACCAATTTTGGATGTAAAAAATCGATTTTTCACGTTGAGCGTTGTACTTTCGTGGATGTTGGGTCAACATTTCAAGTCATTAAATGCTTTTTTAAGAATGTTGTAAGCATCTGAAATGAATCGTTCCAATGGTGGAAACAGTGCCGGCAAACTTCAACGTTCTCTTCCTTAAATTCTCGATGTATATTGTTCTTCGACTTTGAAATGTTTAGAATTGGTCAATTTGTAGGCGTTCTCTAGTGGTATATCTCATATGATTTTTCTTTCATCATAAGAGAGATCATTTTTCCTAGACTCAATCGCATTCTGAGAAAATGAGGAACGGATATCTGCACCATTGTACATGTTTTCTCATGGAAATTGCCCGGCAAATACAATCGATACATCAAACAATCGCAAATTCAAAAATTCAATGCTTAACAGAGAAGAGATCGTTTTCTGCAATCAACCATTCAAACTCCCCATTAGCTGAAAAAATAATATCAACATTTGGTGACAAAATTATCTTTAACGTGCTTTGAAATTAAATTTTCTAATCGTTGAGTTGAATTTTTCTTTATGGGATACAATGTGATGGAAATGAACTACAGGTTTTGCATCATTCACTGCCATCAACTCTTCAACTTTCGCGGTTCATTAACAATCCTCCGTCTACACGTCAATGTAACTAATGGCTCCTTTGGGTCATTGTGACTTTGGCTAGTCACAATCGGTCAAAATTATTTAAGCAGAAGCTGTGAGGGGCTGTGAAAAAATCCTTTCGCCATGAAGTCGGAGACATCATTACCTGCAACGGGAGACAATTTCCGCATGACACACCATCGCGGTTTCCACTGTAACAAAGAAATTCGCAAATTAGTTGATACGCAAGGACACATATTATCAAATTTACAACATTTTCAAAGAGTTCCGCACAGCATTTGATGAGCAAACATTTTATGCGAGGCTATAATTCTGACCCCATGTAGTGGTCCATTGAACCTTTGAAAAATGAGTTATTACCATATTGCGGCTAAGAGACCTGTAAAGAAACGCTTGATGAGACTTTGAAAAATGGGAGGACAGTCCATGACATGTTGACGCCCGAAACCGCACAGTGTTGGTCATTTAAAAGCAACAACGTTGTTCCAGGCGTTACAATAATTTCCAAGAAATTGAGCAAACATTGGCAACACTGTAATGATGAGTCAATGTGCGGTCATTGCGTCGCGCTTTATGCGTTAGTCTGGATACCGTAAGGTGTTTAGCTGATTACCGCGTGGGATTGCCCGTAATTAGAACGAGCGAATCGAAAAGTGCTCGCACTTATGCAAAATAAGTCTACCTTCATTTCTGAATGAGTTCTTCTGAATACTCACTTTAATACGATCGAGAGCTCATGTTAAAAGGCGGATGGAAAACGGCGTAATGGCATTCTGGTGAACTCTTTCTTTGGTGATGTATAGTGGTGAAAACTGATGAGGAGGAATACCGTAAATGGGATGTTTTAGAACACGCAATAATTTAAAATACAGAATTTGGGCTAACCACTAGAAAGCTTAACGACATATCGATGGCCAAAAAGCAAAACCACTTATCTTCATTGCGATGTTCCACAATTTTCACTCCTAAGCATATTTTTTTTTCTCCTATTGGGAGAGGAGGAGGAGGAGAAAAAAGCTATTTTTAAGACTATCTTAAAAGGAGAGGGGCTTTTTTTGGAGCCACCCTAGCTTAGTGCCTTCAACTCAACTATTTTTCGCTCATTTCCAGTCTTTTTTGGGTCCATAACTGGCCATAAATTGGATCTGAAGGCCGATTTTGGCGAGAAATGTGGACTTTTCGGCATTCATTCAACCGCATAGCCACAACCTTCGAATGTTCTTGCGGCTCGGCGTTTTTATTTAGCGCTGCAGTGTACATACTGCCTTTCTTCGGAAGAACGCCGTATGAATATTCGAGGGTTGCAACATATTTTCCGATAAACCGTTGATTTTTGGGGGAGGATTATGGATATTTCCTCTCGAAGTTTTCAAATAATTCTAAGCTAATTACAAATAAAATTCGCTGAAAAATCGAAGGAGAAATAGCCGTAGGTTCCTTGAGAGGTTCAGGTTTTATCAAAATAAGTTTGGCACTTTCTGAAAGCTCATACGGCGTTTTTTCCGTAGCACGGCAGCGTGATAAACTAACGCGGAAGAAGTGTAGGACCAGAATACTCCTGACGGCGGTACCAGAACATAAATAATATCGTGTTACCATCCACAAACGACACAAATCCACACAAAAAACCCACAACGAGCGAAAAGGGCCAGGACGGAAGTCGGGGGAAAAAATTAAGTAGATAGGTTACTCCCATCAAACATCAAAGCGACTGTCAGCTCGGCGGCAATTCCCCCATGCTAATCAAAAACACCGTAAGAGCCTTTGGGCGTTGCCACATTTCCTTTCATAAATCACGAATTTATGGGAATATTCATAAATATTTTCCATTCAATTTTTCAGAGAATTTCGTTCGTATTTTGCTCCAAATAGTTCAAGAATTCCAAGGAAAAATATGGATAACTTTTCTTAGAAATAAACATTTCATCGGAGGAAATTGGCAACTCTCGAATGTTCATACGGCGTTCTTCCTCAGCTCGGCGGCTGTTGACGGTGCCGCGATACCCACATCCATATCCACATCGGCACATGAACGAGCTCCTTCAAAACGAAAACTCCATTTTTAAAGACCCTCGAAACGCTAGTAATTCATCATCGCCTGGGGTCCATCCTGAAACGGACATACGCGGTTTCAGGAACAATCCGCGTTCACATCTAATTAACCCGCGGACGAACCCGGGGCCGAGTGACCCCCCAAGGGCGTGGGCTAATGGGGTTGTGCCCGACCCCGGCGGAAACCTCATATCTCCGATGGGGATCTGTTGGTACTTACGAGGTTTTTGTTTGGACCTAACCTGACGATGACGACCATACACAATAGTTAAACTCGAAGCCTCGCTGTGGATTTCCGGTTCGTGTGTACACAACAATCACACATCCGAATAATTACGCCGTGTCTCGCACGTAGGAACTACGCACACACGGACGGCTGCGGCGTAGGATGTGATCGGGTGACGGGTAATTCGGCTGATTTGAAATTTAAATTCTTGTTCTTGGAATTCTTGATGAAAGGGAGAAAATTCGACCGATAACCGTTATGTGTTTTGGAACTTAAGATTGGCATAATTTAGGAGATCCTTGGCAAAATATGACTTGCAACGCCTCTAAGATTGTGCTACTCAGCTATTCATTTACTGCTCTGCCGTGCTAAGGAAGAACGCCGTATGAGCCTTCAGATGTTGCCAAGTTTCCTTCGATAAAAACTGAATTTACTGGGAAAATTGCGAATGTTATTCTCCCAAGTTTTCAGACGATTTTGTACGCAATTTAATCTTGGCTAAAACGCATAGAAACAGTATCCTTTCTTATCAACCCCTCCTTCCTATCCTTTCTAGCAAAGAAGAAAGAAATAAAATAAGCGACTTTACGCGGGAATACCTCGACATAATTCAAGTATAGCCTTGCCTAAGGGTTGAATGAACTTTAAGAACACTTTTTCCCGCTTTTGCAAGAGCAGAGAAACCAAGGGTAGGCGGTGCAGCAAAAAACTAGCACAGTAAATTGAGGAAGAAGAGATGTGGGGGAGAGAAAACGCCATCGCGGGCTCGGGCGAAGGAGGAAGCGACTTATATCTCCAGGAGCTAAAAAACAGAAAGAAGGGAGGATAGAGGAATGATAAGAGTGCAAGTGTGCTTTCAGGAGATAGTGTGCATGTGCAATCTCGGCGTAGGGGAAAGAAATATTCCAATACAGGTTTAAAGCCGGCGTTGTCAGCAAATGCTCCAGAAATATTATGTGAAAAATTCAAATTTTAGACTAAATTTGAATGCGGGTGAGCCCTCCAGACCCGCAGTTTGTGATCTGCACTCTTAAAGGGTCAATTTGACTAGTGTCACGATTCGAAATTTTGAGGAAGGTACCTGCAGATAAGCCGTCGTTCCCGAAGCGAAGGAACATCAGTCCATCCCAAGGATGCAAAATTATAACGAAAATTCAATTTCTTTAAAAGGATATAACTGCGCAGTTTCTGTCCAACATTTAGCCGATTTTAGGGATACCTACCTAACTAGTCACAAGAGAAATCAGTGGAATTTTCAGTCGGAAATGCTCAACATTTTTGTATTTTCTTTCTTTTTTTTTTGTGTGTGTGTAAAAATACAATTTACGGGTGGAAGTTCGCAACGGTACAACGTAGTTACATTTTTTTGACTGGAATACGGTGATAAACCTGCTGAGTGCTGATATATGAAAAAAACAAAAACAATTAAAGAAAAAAAAATCGTCGAGATCCGTCCCGTATTTTTCTACACGTTATGAAAATTTGAAGGATCACAGAAACTGTACTAACAAAAAGGAAGGACTAGCTCGATGGCCAGGATTATGAAGACGACACAGAGAGAACATGACAGAAATGAAGAAATTGGGACCTCAAAGCAAAGGTTAACCGATGGAATGAGCCTCAGAATTCTAGGTGAAAATTCTGCGGCTACAAGTAAATGGACGTTCCTCGAAACTAAACATAAGTAAGTGTGAGGGTATGGTAGATTTGAGCCGCACATCCGACACTAGTGACGATGAACTGACCTCATCGGAACTTGAAACGCTTCGGACAAAAATTCTTGCGAGGATGGAAATGGAGCAATCAAAACTTACAGTAAAAAGAATGTAATACTTTGGGGGGTTTTCCGTTTTAGTCTTCGATCGCTTGTTTTATTAAAGAAAAGTTTGATTGAAGTTTGATGAGCTAAGCTCTGTGACTAGGTATGTGTACGGGGAAAACGTAATTGTGAAAAATCAAGAAATCTTGGCATAGTTAAAGCCGAAAAAGAAGCTTCATGAAACGTAAATGAATATTATTTACTTAAACTTATTAACAGGAATGCTGAATGTTCATAGCCATCAATCGATCGGTAGCTCACAAACTGCGTCTGCAGTAAGAAAGATGATATAATATTTATTACAATTTGATTAAAATGCGCTCCTTTTTGGGCACAACTTCTAAAATTGTATACTCGCTTTACCCTGCGCATTTCCAAACAGCGTGCGCACCTCGGAACTTGGCGCGATTTGTGAGCCAGTGCTTGAGGTGCTTGAGATATACTTTCAATTTTGCAGACGCTTCTCGCAATCGTTTTCCGCTCCAAGTTCAAAGTTGCATAATTTTCCCTCGAAAGTTGAGGTTCCTTTTCATAGATTCGGTCAAAATTGTGAAGCAACAAAATTTTCTGGCGTGACCACAAGAAAGAAAAAGAGCTTGGTCTCTCTTCGGCTGACTCAGGGATTTTAATGTAGGAGTAAAAATGTTGATCGGGCAAGGCACGTGATGCAAATATAACAACTTTCAAGTAAGTAAAATCGCACAGCCACAAAATGAAAAAGACTCCTCAAATGACTTGGAGACTTTAACGCAGGGGTGGAAAAGTGGGATGAAGCGAAACACGTGATACAACTATTTTGACTTCCAAGTGGGTAAAATTGCATATCCACAAAATGAAGGAGAATTTCTTTTCCACTGACCCAGGGACTTTAACGCAGGAGCGAAAAAGTTGGATGGGGAAAAAAAGGTGTGATACAATTATTATTTCAACTTCAAAGTGCGTAAAACTGCAAATCCACAAAGCGAAGGAGAACACGATGCTCCATATAATTTCGACATTCGGTTCGTGAAACTAAACTGAAGAGGTTAAAAGAACTGATGAAAGAAGTTCGGTTAAATGAACCGAAGTTTCCTGACACGAATCTAAAAAAACTG